CTTCTCTTTCTTTTTACTTAACAACTGTCTTTCCCCCCTCAAAAAACCCTCTGCATTGAGGTCTTCTTTCCCTCTTCCTTTCTTCCTAATTTTCCCTTATAGAAAACTGATTCAAGTACTGGTTTATGAAGGCAGAGAAGGTGAAGAATCTGAGTGGATCAAGACAGACTCTTCCCTGGTGGGCAGCAGAAGGAAGCACTATCTTAGGAACATTATCTTGACACTGCTGATCCATTATCTAATGCTACTTAATGATCTATGCCAAAAATTAGAGGCATAAAAAAACCCCCACCATCTCATTGTGCTCATGATGCAGTGGGCAGAAGTCTGGGCAGGGTACAGTGGGGAAAGCTTGTCTTTGCCACCCAATGTCTGAGGCTTCAGCTGAATTGGCTCAAAGGGCTGGAGACAGCAGGGACAGCTTGAGTGGCACCATATGTCTTCGGACACTGGCATGTCCAAGATGGCAACTTCACTCGTGGATCTCATGTGTGGGCGGGCATGGCTGAAACAGGTAGGGGCTGGCCACATGACTCTAGCTTCTCACAGCATGACAGCAAATGTCCAAGATGGAGCAGCCCAAGAGTGAAAATTCCAAAACCTCTGGGTGAACCATGTAAGGGCTCATAAGTCCCAGGCTCTCATTTCTGCCACATTCTCTTGGTCAAGTGAGTCATCATCAGCCTGTACTCAAGGCAGGGGATTCGACTTCACCTCTCTATATGAAGAGCAGTATGTGTGTAGGGAGATGGAATGAGCAGCAGCCATCTTGAGGACTACCCACCCAATCCAGGTCTCTTCCACATAATTGGCTTGAAATCCAGGATCTTGTCAGAGTCAAGTGAGGATGAGGCACCTTGATTACAACTCTTCTTCATCAGAAAAGCTGTGAATGAAAAGACAAGGGATTCGTCCCATCTCTGTCTGTGTTGGGGTCCCTAAGGACACTCATAGGCTCACTGATTCACTGGTAAGACTCCCAGGGCTCCGCATTTGGTCGTATTCATGGCTGAGGTCTGTTAACAACAAAAGGATACAGAGCAAAGTTGGCAAAGGAAAAGTCACAAGGGGACACTATCCAGAGAGAACTGGGCACACGTTTCAGACCTCTCTCCCAGGAAAGTCACACATGACATGCTTAATATCCCCACAATGAGTTGTGAAACCACACATGAGGTTGCCAACCAGAAAAACTCATTAGAGATTCAACGTAATTACTCTTTTTTATTTATGTGGTACTGGGGATGGGCTTGAATCTGCAACCCTCCTGTCTCAAGCTCTTTAGTAGCTGGGATTATAGGCTGGTGCCACCACATATAGCTTATTATTCCCTTTTATGGAGGGCTGGTCATGTTGGCAGCCTCTGCCTGACATTACCCACATTACAGACTTCCAGAACTTATTGTTCATACAGTTTGGGCGCAGAGAGCCAATTTTATTATTTAATGATAGTAACACTCCTCCAATCTTAGTTCCTAGTTGCTGGCCAAAGACCAAGTTCATAAATAGGTCTTTCTAAACAGGTTTATAACGGTCAGCCCTGTTATGTCAACTGCTTTTTGCACACTGGCCAACATGTAGTGGTTACATAAGGACAGTAAAACCACAATAATATTTCCCTTCAAAAAGATGGAGGTGGCCAGGCATGGTGGTGCATGCCAACATTCAGAAGGCTGAGGCAGGAGGATTGCCACGAGTTCCAAGGCCAGCCTGGGCTACTTCAGTGAGTTTGAGATCAGCATCACTGGTCCATAGAAATTCTGAAATCTACCCAGACACATGTTTCCAGTTCTTTGACTAAGGCCTTATTGTCCTTCTTGGGAGTGTTTATGATTCTGGGCTCTTTCCTTTGGGTTCTTAGTTCTGCACTTGTTTGTCCCTCCCTTCCCATAAGAACTAGCCTTTGTAAAGGAGCCGCTTTCTCAGTCTACTTCCTCTCCATGCAGAATTGGTTGCCTGGAGGTCTCTTTCCACTTTCAACTAACTCTTTCCTTTTCAGTCCAAGTTGCTGCCTCTACAAGTCTCTTAGACTTTCCATAAACTCACTATATAACCCAGGCTGGCCTTGAAATCCTCCTGTCTCAGCCTCCTGAGTGCTGGGATCACAGGTGTGCCCAGCTTATCTAGTGTTGTTTTGCTCCTTTTTTTTTTTTTTTTTGAGTTTTACTCTGCTTTTTGTTTCCTTTTTCTAAATCTAATTTTATTTACATTTTTTGGTACTGGGGATTGAACTCCGGACCTTGTGCTTGCAAGGCAGGTGCAGTGCCACTGAGGTAAATCCCCGGCCCACATGTGGCACTTTTACTGTGTGTATGTTTATGTTCAAACTCACCCTTTTAGAAGAACATCAGTCATATTGGACTAGGACCTGTTCTAATGACCTCATTTTAACGGGATTACTTCTGTGAAAACTATCTCTAGAGATCACATTCTAAAGCACTGGGAGTTAGGACTTCAACATAGGAATTTTCTGGGTACACTTCAACTCATAACACCAACCTTTATAACAACTCCCTCACTGTCCTCCCAGGCTACACGTGAGGCTCTTTTAGCTTTTGCAGGAGAAGCCAGGGAAAAAAGGTTGGAAAGGAGATGGCTGGATGGGTCAGAGAATAGCCATTAACTTAAAGACGACAAAGGAAAGCTGCCAAGGAAGACCATGCAAGACTGCTTGCAGCTAGTAATGGGCCTGAGGTTTCCAGGGCACAGTGAGGCAGGAGATTAGGGCATGGCAGACTGGCTGGGGAAGCTGGCATAACCTGTCAGTTGCAAAGTCCCAGGACACATGTGCAGAACAGTTCCCAAAGCCCTGCACGTAGAACCAGAGGGTGCTGTTGTCAATTGTCAGTTCTTTTCAGGAGAACTTGAGCAAGTTTTCTGTAGGATGTCCTAGATCTGATGCTAGCTGGAGGAACAAGAGATACAAAAGACAGTTGCCATTGAGATCTGGACCACTGTGTTCTCTCTTTCTCTTTATTACTATTATCATCTTTTTTTGTTTTTTTTTTGCAATAGGTATTGCTATATAATCCAGGCTGGCCTTGAACTCACTGAGTAGCCCAGGCTAGCCTCAAACCCATGGTGATCCTCCTGCTTCAGCCTCCTGAGTGCTGGGATCACAGGTGTGAGCCACCATGCCCAGCCCGCCATGTTCTCTCTTGCACAATAGTTTGCTCTCATGCTGTAGAGTATACTTTTCCCTACTTTTACTTGGCCCAAACATGCAGAGCATGTTTTCCTTCCTTTAATAAATGTAAAACTTTGCTACTTTTTGCACTTGTCTTGACCAATTCTTTGTTCAAGATGGAAAGAACCTGGAAACCACTTCTAGAAGGAGATTCCAGCACCCCCAAACCCATTAACAATCAGGATTAGCAGTCAGGCAGGAAGCTGAATTGAACTGGGGGACAGTGAGGACAAACTGGAATCCAAACACATGAGAATAGAATGGAGCTCGCTGCTATCTCTCTTCCTGATGAACATGTGACCTGTAGCATAAGCTGATACCCTTCTGTGTGATTAAAGCGGGGGGGGGGGGGCTTTGGAATATGTTTGGTGCTTTCCAATCCTGAGAGGAGGAGTGTCATCTAGTGGTTAAACTGAGCCTTGAGAAGAAGGATCTCTTGTCACTACCTAGAGTAAACTGAGTAGACATGAAGAAATTAGAGGTTAAACCGTGTTTTTGCTGACTGACAGACTTGGCCTGGAGTTGGGGAAGAGAAACAACAGACTGGACTCTGGCAGGGCAAGAGGAGTCCCTTTGCTTCTGCTCCTTACAGTACAGAAGGGCCTCCTTTTTCCGCTCTAGCAGGTTCCCTTTGATCCCACTCACTGATACAGCTCCTCTTTTCTGCTCTTTTTGAATCCTCCTTTCTTTTAAATTTAAATTAAAAAAAATTGAGATGAGGGCTCTCTAAATTGCCCAGGCTGGGCTCCAATTTGCAATCTTCCGGCCTCAGCCTCCCAGAGTGCTGGGATTACAGGCATGTGCCACCATGCCTGGCACATTAAGGAACTTTTAAAAAGGAAAACAAAACCACACTTACGTGAAAATCACCTCCTTTCAAAAATTCTTGGTATTTATTTTCTCCACATCGTCCAGATTTGGTCTTGGATGGGAGAGGAGCGGCACTATGTGTGTAACTTAATGGGATTGAAGTCACCCAAGTTACCCTAGGATGCTAGTAGTGCAAGAAGAGTCCTTCTGGAACATCTGGTTCACCCAGGCTCATTTTATATAAGAGAATCTGAAGCCCAAAGAGCTCGAGACACCATCGTTAACAGACACGAATTGAACAGCTATAATCAGGAGGAAAGTTCTAAATTGGAATAAATTTTTTTAAGTGGTCCACCCATTCGGAGTGCTTTGCTAGAGTCCTCCTAGATTTCCTACCACACAAGCACGGAGACACCAGGCCAGCAGCATTTCCGGTTCGGACCCTTCCGAGATGTGAACAGAGTCGACGTCCTAAGCCACCTTAAATCTGCAGGCTCCCAGAGCTCACTGCAGAGTAGGCATCAGCACATGCGGGCGAAGGGAACGAACCAGCCTCCTTCGGAGGTTCTTCCCTGCCCCCTCCCCTCTGCACCCTCCCTAGTTTAGGATCGGGAGACTAGTTTAGGGTCGCTAGTTTAGGATCGGGAGTCCTTTGGGACTCTGGGTCAGGGGACTTTTCTCTGGCGTCGTGTCTGGCCTCCTGAGACGGTGCCTCCCTCCTGGGGGAGGACAGGGCTCTTTTTCACGGCGGGATTCCAGCCTGGGTGAGACAGGCTGCCTCACATTTTTCCTCAGGATGGGGAGCATTTATTTGAGGTATACGCAAGCACTGAAAATGTCCTGAGTCGGTCTGGGAACCAGTGAGAGGGATTGGGTGGTGTTTACGGTCCCACACCAGACAGAAAGCCGGGCATGGCCTTCGATTGGCTCAGCGCGGGCGCGCCCATAAAAGGGAGAGGCCTGCAGAGGGGGCGGGATCGGGCGGGGCCTGCCGCGGTCAGGTGACTTCGCGGCGGACCCCGGGGGTGCCCAAACCGGTGCTGAGGCGCTGAGGGCTGGCGGAGCAGGCGGGGCCGCCTCACGCAGTTGCGGCCCGCAAGACCATGGGGGGCTTGAAGGACGAGCTGCTTAAGGCCATTTGGCACGCCTTCACTGCGTTGGACCTGGACCACAGCGGCAAGGTGTCCAAGTCGCAGCTCAAGGTGGGCGTCCCGCACCTCGGACCCCGCCGGGCCCTGCGGGCCGTGTTCGCAGCGAGGGGCGGGCCGGAGGGCGGCGGGCGGCGGCGGAGGTCCTGGGGCGGGCTAGAGCCGGGCTGGGATCAGGAGGGTGCAGCTTCCTTCTGGCCTTGGAGCCCGTGCCCTCGAGGTCGCGGGGAGGCCAGGTTGGGACTTGAGGGGCGAGTCTGGCTCCAGGTGGTGCGAGGGGCCACAGGGTTTCGGACTCTGAGAGGGGGTAGGTAGCGCCCTCCCACGGCCTTCCCAGAGTTTTCCCTTCTCTGGCAGAGGAAAGGACTTGCCCGTGGTCCCTGGGCAGAGCCACCTGCAGTCCCCAGCCCCACACCCGGGGAGAGGAGGGCGAGACCCCCCCCCCCCCAGTGTGCGTCTCCTTGCGGACCTGGCACCCCGGACCCGGGCCTCCCGCGCCGTCCAGCGACCTCGGGTCTGGGAATGTGGGCCAGGACGTTGGTTTCGGGTGAGGAGCGCTGATCTTTCTGGCACTCTGCAAAAGCAACTTCTTTTGGAGAGTGGTTATTTTATTGTGGTTGCCCAAGACCCCGCCACGGAGCCAGAGAGTAACGTACACATAAAGGGATACTTGTAACCAGAAAAAGCCCAAGCCGGGAAAGTGGCACTCAGCCACGAGAAATTGGCAGCTTCTTGAAAGTGTTAAAATATAGAACCAGACAAGAAGAGCCATTCACAGACATTTTTAAATATACACATTTTGGATCTGAATGACTGGTTTTCTTAACCTCTTCTGGGAATGCATTTCTGAAGATTGGGTTTGCTTTGTATATTTTATGTAATAATCGGGAAGTTCTTTTGAGTAGTGGCATTTATGCCTGCAGGACCTAGCATTCTCCCTGGCCTTCCTTTTGTTTGGCTCACTTTTCCTCATTCTTTTTTTTTTCCTTCAGTATGTGGGATCGAACTCAGGACCTTGTGCTTGCCATCTTTTTTTCCCTCATTCTTAGAATCACAGTCTGGAAGGGCCCATGGAGATCAGCCACATATTTTATTATGCACAGACTTCTTTTTTTGGGGGGACCGGGGATCGAACTCGGGTCCTCGCGCTTGTGCAGCAGGCAGCGAAACCACTGAGCTAAATCCCCGGCCCACTCAGCCACATATTTTAAATTTTTTACTTCAAAAAATTAACGTAGTGTACAGTTCTGTAAGTTTTAATACGTGGAATCCTTTTTTGTTTGTTTTTTTTGAGACAGGGTCTCCCTATGTAGTTCAGATTGACCTTAAACTGACTTTGTAGCCCGGGCTGGCCTTGGATTCACAGTGATCCTCCTGTCTCAGCCTCTTGAATGCTAGACTACAGGTGTGCACCACCATGCTTGGCAGATTTCCACACTTTCTAGCCAATGTTTCTTCATTTTTTTATTTTCCAATCCATGACAGAAATGAAATGTTTTTCTGTTGCTTTTGTTGTGCTCCATTTAAAACTGTCTTTATGGGCCGGGGATTTAGCTCAGTGGTTCCACTGCCTACCTCACAAGTGCAAGGTCCTGAGTTCGATCCCTGGTACCAAAAAAAAGGGCAAAAACAACAAAAAAATTGTCTTTATGGCTGCCTAGAGGAAATGCCCAGATGCCTAGAAGGATTTTCTTTTTGGAGATCCGTTCATACCAGGCTGTCCAGGCTGCCTCAAACTCTTGAGCTCAACTGATCCTCCTGCTTCAGCTTCCCATGTAATTGGGACAGGAGGCATGAACCACAACAGCTGGTGCCTAGAGGATTTTAGATAGCAGGCTTGGCAGGAAGCGTTAAATCCCAATTCCTAGCTTTCAACCATAAGATCATGTTGATGCATCTATGCAGCTATATTTTATCTTTCCCTTGTCTGTGTTAGAGACTTTGGGATTAATTCAATTATGTTCACCTTGCCAGTGTTTATAGAATTAAAAATAATTAAAAATTTTTGTTTCTTCTTTTTAGTGTTTAACTCTGAACTTTGATGTTCCATTGCTAGCAGTAGAATTTTTGCCTTAATTTTTTTTTTCCTGTGGTACTGGGGATACAACTCAGGACCTTGTGCTTGCCAGGTATTGCCTTAATTTGTTGATTCACTCAAACAATAATCTTTTGTGTTTTAACATTGTATAAGGTACCATGCTGATTTATTTATTTTGTGATAATGGAGTGCTATGCCACTGAGCTATATCCCCAATCCTTTAAAAAATTTTTATTTTGAGACAGTCTTTTGCTAAGTCACTAAATTGTCTAGGCTGGACTCAAACTTATCCTCCTGGCTCAGCCTCCCAGAGTGCTAGGATTATAGGCATGTACCCTACTATGCCCAGTATACCATGCTAATTTAATAAAAAGGTTAGTACTTTTAGCTCCATAAGAATAGCTCCTTAGAGAAAATATCATAACCCAGGCAGGCCTCAAACTCTCAGCAATCCTCCTGCCTTGGCCTCCTGAGTGCTGGGACTACAGGTGTGTATGTGTCACCACACCCGGCATATAATTGATTTTTAAACAGCAGTATTCTAAAATATTTTTGACACTTATCTTTTTAAATTACCATCAGAGTTTTTTTGTTTTTTCCTTTGTACTGGGCATTGAACCCAGGGAATGCTGAACCATATCTCTAGCCCTTTTTAATTTTTACTTTGAGAGAGGGATTGGCCCAGGCTGGCATGGACTTGGGATCCTTCTGCCTCAGCCTTCCAAGTAGTTGGGATTATAGGCTTGTGCCACTGTGCTTTTGGCACAGAATTGATACATTTACTTAATGTATAATCTACATCTCATGTGTTGAGATTGTACTTAATACTAAAGGTGATAAGGTAGTAGTGAAACATGGGAAAAAAGAAACATGAATCCTTGCCTTCAAGGAGTTTAAATTTTAGTAGGGAAATCAAGAGAGTAAACCATTAGAGAAAGCATTCTTTCTAGATATAGATTGTATTACTCACATAATTGTCCTGTTCTTAAAAAACACGAAGTCTGGTGGTAAAGATAAGAAATACAGAAATCCTGTTGGATAGAAGATGCTGAGTATGACAGTGTGACAGATTCGGGTCCATGAGACTTTAGAGGGAGAGATGATTACTTCTCACTGGTTGGATTACTTCCTAAGAAAAGCTTATTGGAAATAAACTCTGATGGAAGTGAAGAGGTGAGTATAGTATGTAATGGGAGAAGTTAAACCCATTCTGTTCATTCACTCATTTAATGGATAATTATTGAAAGCTGTTAGTTCTAGGAAATACTGTGCACTCTTGCAAGAGACTGGACTTATTAGCATTTATGGTGACTTATGGTAATTATATTGGTTGGAGTATAGAATATGAATGTTTGTCCTGTGGGTGACAGAGCGGTAGGAATGTATTGGAGTTAATACACAGAAGGAAGGCTTTTATTGTTAGACTAGTTAAGTAGATGACCAGGGCTCTGAGTTTTCTTTGGATGGTGACGCATGAAAATGGCGCCTTAGCAAGTTACTTGGTTGTTTTCTTGGTTTTTTTTTGAGACAGAGTCTCACCATGTAGTTCTGGCTAGCCTTGAACTCACTATGTAGCCCAGGTTGAGCTCAAACTCAAGGTGATCCCTGCCTCAGCCTCCTGATTGCTAGGATTACAGGTGTGCGTCACCAAGCCCTGCCACTAGCAAGCTACTTGGGAAGTGTGTGTGCAGGCTGGAATGGATTGGGCAGAAAGGAATAGGAAGCCAGGTGAGAGGTAGCAGGGGCTAGAGGCAGGGAAGATGGATAGAGGATGAGTGGGATTAAGAAACAGCTGTTAGCCTGTCGTGGTGGCACCCACCTGTAATTCCAGCACTTGGGAGGCTGAGGCAGGAGGATTGCCATGAGTTCAAGGGTAGCCTGGACTACGTAGTCTCAAAAAACCAAACCAAACCAGAAAATGATGGATTTAGAAATGTCTTGAAATTCAACTTGCTTGACCAAATGAATGGTAGTGGCTTTTAATAGGAGTTGTGAAGTTGAGAGAAGGAGCTATTTAGAGAAGAAATGAGATGCTTAGTTTTGGGCATGTAGAGTTTTTATTCTTAGGTCTTTAATGTGTGGATGTTCAGCTGGAGATGATGTCCTTGGAAAGCGTGCTTGGAAAAAGGAGAAGAAAGCCCTTGGCAGTCTTGGGGGAATGACTGGCGTAGGTGAGGAGAGGAAGGAGAGAAACCATGGGACCGGAAATCAGAGATAAAAACCACTTTGGAGCAACATTGGAGTTGAGGAAGAAAATTTTAGGGAAAACATGGTCTGTTGTCTTTGAGAGTTAATTTATTATTGCTGTATGTACCTGTTTTGGAGATTATAAAGTAATAAGATTGATTCCTTCTTCCACAAGCTGTAAACTAGATGTTTATTCTGTAAAAAGAGGTTTTGAGTCTTAGCATCATCTTGGGAATAAATACGTATTTTTTACCTTTAGGGCCCTCAGTATACGAAAAGCTTATTTTTTATACCTATTTTTTTTTTTAAATGTTCATTGTCTTTCTTTACTAGCTTTTGAAACTTTTTCCTTTTTCTAATTTTTTGAGACAGGGTCTTGCCACATAGTCCAGGCTGGCCTCAGATTTACTATGTAGCCCAGGTTGGCCTTGAACTCCCAGCGATCCTCCTGCCTCAGCCTCCCGAGTGCTAGGATTGTGGGCATGCACCACTATGCTGGGCTTTTTATAATTAATTAATAGTGTATATGAGTAAAACAGAAATTACTGTCCTGAGGGTTTTTTTTTTTCTCCTCTTGTCTCTCTCTTTTTTTTTTTAAGAAAACAAATCCTTGTGTGGAGCGCTGACTTTCAATAGATTGCAGTGAGGCAGCAGCTCTGCTGCTTCAGATTGTGTACAGATATTTCAGCACAAGTTCCCCACTACCATGCCTTCCATGACATGCTGCACCCGTTTCCTGGCCACACTCGGTTTCCCAGGATGAAGGACTCTCCACGGCAAACTCTGGTCCAGTGTGCAGTGGGGCACACCCTCTAAATAAGTTTCAAAA